AATATTTAAAAATTCATAATATAATACGTATAATATTCATACGTATAAAAAATTCGCTAAATTTTTAAACCAGAACATTATATTTTTGGTCTATTCTAATATTCTTAGTGTTAGTATTCCTATATATATTTAATTCCTCAAAATGGTGCTGAGATAATTCTAACAATCTTGACATCTATTTGATAGCTAAAGCGGGAATCCGCAATCACCGAGATTTGGAGAAACGTGTCCTAATCGTGTGCCCTAATCGAATGCATTGATAGCATTGCTGATTACTATTACACGTAGATAAAATATAAAGTATGTAAAACGTATTTTCGAATCCTCTTAAAGATACTCTCAAATATGTATTTCTCGCTAAGCATTTTGGCCAATATTGGCTTTTACTTTACGTAGCCTATATCCATTCTTCGGACCAGTTGAACTTACCTTTCCTATGGTCATATTTTCATTCGATTTTTAAGCAGAGATCAAAAAAAGAATACTTTTTTCATTGCATGTTATTTATTGTTGGCGAATAAACACAAAAATTTTATATGCTCTCGTTTGCGTTTACAGTTTGTTAAACGCACGCGTTTAGATCGAGGTAGGAAGAAAACTCTTTTTTTGGCCGGCTAATTATTATTGCCGACAAATGAGCGTAAACATATCACGCTCAATGTTGACGAGCGTGCAACATTAAGATCGTTCGTTCAATGTTACTTTACTTTATCCAAAAAGCTAAGTTTTTAATCAAAGATTAATTGAAATTTTTATAGTAATTATAATTTATAATAAAAAAAGTAATTTATGACAAAATTCAATTAATTAAAAAATAATTTGTATCATTTATCATTCCTTTAGAGGTAATGTAATTAATTGATCACTTGGCTTTACATCGGTTAAAGCAAAGTTTAACTACAAAATTCTAAAATATAGGCGGATGGGCTATAAAAAATTAGAATATAAGGTCAATAAGTAAAGATTAAATGACCGTTGCATATATAATTAAAAAAATTAATGTTCTTTATTCAATAAATTAAATAAAAAATCTATAGTATAAAAAATGCGTCTTTGATCTTCTTTAATCTATATATATATATATATATATATATATATATATATATTTACATATTTATAATTTATTTTACAATTTACTTTTGTAATAAATGCAATATATATTGAAAAAACTTATTAAAAGTTATTTAATCTAATCTGTTTTAACTCATCCATTTTGAGGCAACCATTTGATGGACCTATTTATTATCTCTATAATTTCTACATGCACACCCACAAATCCGTTACCTCAAAATTAAATAAAAATTTATCACTCACCAGCACTGATGCAACAGCAGAGTTGTTGAAATCAGAGCTACGTTATCTGTAACAAATAAATATAAAATTCTCAAATCTATTTTATAGTAATATCGAGAAAGAACATTAATTTATGAATTATTCTAGAATTTTAATAATTCAGATTAAAATATAAGAAATAATTCAAATTATTATTTATTATTACTACCAAATTTTATATCTGATGAATAAAATAAGAAACAGACATATTAATATAGAATATTTATGAAGTTTTAAAAATAAAATTTTTATATAAAATAGAGAAATACTTTTAAAAGATTTATATAAAAGTCTTTCTCTCAGAATCTCTCTTGTTTAAATTATTCAAATAAATGAATCGAATTAATGAGCGCGGGCGTATACGCCATTTATAATAATTATAATAAACAAATAATGATTACTCACTCTAAGATTGTTCCATCAATTCTCTTCTTCTCAAGATCGTTAGCTTAAGTTGATCTGCAACATAAAATCCTAATTATAGTACCTAATATAATTAATATTTAAAAACATTCACATAATACATAAGTATTGAGGTTTATGTTCGATGTAGTAAATGAGAGAATATACAATGGAATAATAATTTTTAATTCAAACTTTTATACAACTTATATAAAAAGAATTGATAAAAGTATTTGTCTCTAATTCTTTTTGTTTAAACTCAACAAAGTATTTTAATTGAGCTTATATATGAAGTTCTCGCTATATTCTCACACGTGCACATACAAACATTGCTTGAATACAGATTAAGACGACCAAAAACGGAGAGAGTAAATCCCTCTTGATATCTCTTGCATTTATCGTAACAGATTTTGCGAGCTTCTAATAAAAAGTTGAATGATAAGAAGCGATCGATAAAGTAACGTCTCACAAGATGAGATTATAGAAAGATTATGGGATAAGTATTCCATTAAGAGAGAAATGTAACCGGATTTTAAATCATCAAATCGATGATATGAGTTATAAATACAAGAAGAATATTAAGATTATATTGCACAATAGCAACAAAAATAATGAAAAGTTAAAAGATTAAATTCTTTTTTTTTTTAATTAAGATTAGTAAAGATTTGTGTCAACCATTTTATTAACGAAAATTAGCAACAGTATGAGCAAAGTATATGATAACGGAAATTGCAACTAATAATTAAAATTATCTAAGTAAAAATTTAATATACAGAATTCTTGTAATATTAAAATCTATTTTATATATAGAAATGTTCGATAAATTTTTAATTAACCTTATTATTATCGGAAATATTTCGAGAAATCGATAAAGCTTTGAATTAAAAGTTACAACTAAAAAAACTTGTAAACAAAAAAATTTCAAAAAAAAAACAAAACTTTATTTAATATTAAGTTAATTATACCAAAATTATTATTATTTAAAATTTAAAGAATATACATATATACAATATATATATATATATTTTTTTTAATAATAAAATATAAAATAAAAATTAAAAAAATACAAATTACATTTATATTTAAATCACCTCAGTTAAATTTAATTTTGATCGAATTCTTGAAATGTGTCTCATATTGTGATATTCTGCATGATTTTGTATAACTTAATGAAAATTACGTAAAAATAAATTTGACATTAATATAAATCTACAAATATTTACATATATTCAATTTGTACCGTTGAAAAGAACAAATATTTAAAGTTAGAATTAATTAAGTTAATTAAAGTTAATTTTTAAGTTGTATAAGGTAAAAATGAATTGTATTAGAAAACGTGTTAATAGAAAAAAATAATGTATAAATATCGATATTACATACGAGTATTTTGATTTTTCATTGTTCAAACAGAAGAAACTTTAAATTACTTGCAGTGATAAATCGATATCACGAGCTCGCAAGTCAGGAATTTAATCCAAAGAACACTCAATATATTGCAAGTTAGAGAACTGCATAAGTTTTCATCATATTTTTACTAAAGATTATAAAAAGAAGAATATCTACTTTGTCACATTGATATATTTCGTCATCGGAATTAGAAATATAATAAAAAAAACATTATATTTTTGACAAAGACATATGTGAGATTTATTGTGAAATTTCTCTCATCGTTGACATTTCAGAAGACATTTTGCTTGCAATACAGATTTTATCTAAAAGTTTCAAAATATGTACTTAAGACTATATAATTAACAACATGCATATACATAATATATATACACGTAGTTACAGGAAACGTGCACAGACTACAGTGTACTGGAATACAATTTCCATGGCTTAACTCGCTATTATCTTAATTAACAATGATAATAATGTACACTCAGTATATTTAATAAAGAATTTTACACACATATATATTTATATAAATTTCATTGTATATATGAGTGAATCTATAGTTATGAAGACATTCGGCATGAATCAATGATAATATAGAAAATCGAATTAAATCGCTTAAACATCCGTTTTTAAATAATCTAATGCTCTGGATTTCCGCGATAAGAATAATATTTGAGAACTACTGTTCTAATGTTTGCTGCCTCGCTCTCAAAATCAGTATTACTTTCTCAAGAGTGTTCGAAATTCTTTTACAATTAAAAGAGTTCGATATCGTCAAAGTTACAAAATAATAAATCTTTTTCTATCCTCTAAATGTCAAAAGTTTAATTAATTCAATTAGCCACTAAAGTAAAATTCACTTTTCTTTTTAATTAAATAATGTAAGCAAGCTAGTTTTTGTTTCTGATGAAACAATTACTATGCTCATTGCTTTCATTACAATGAAACTTCTATAACAATGTAAGTAAAACATTTTATCTTTTTATTTCAGGATGTTTGTAAATCAGTAAACCCTCGTTCCTTTCAACATTCTACTGAATTTATTTATACGTATAAGCATAAAATCAGATATAATCAATACTTGATTGTCGTGAAATTTGAACAAATATGTATAAAGATTCGATATAAAAAAAGATTATATTCTTTAATTGATTTATTTTTATGATATGTAAAAGTTATAAGTAAAGACTAAAGCGATATTGTTATAAAAATGGTTTAAATCTCATTTTTCATATTTATGTAACAGGAGACTTATTATATAACATTATATAGCTATAAAACATTTTATAAAATACTATTTTGTAGCGTTATATTAATTTCTTCGATTTTAGTTTCAGTTTTGCAAAACATTTATTCTCAGTTAGATAAAATAAATTACCTTAATTTTGTTTCTTCTGTGTTTTTAATAAACTTAACTTATAAGAAATTATAAATGTAATATTTACAATTTTATTATGTTTGCATTTAATAATTGCTATTACCAGCACAATTATTTGACATAATGTACATAGTTTGAATTAAATTAAATTTAAAAAAAATTGTTTTCCACCGATTACTTTACCGCGCATTATTATATGTATATGTATATATATGTATTTCTTAATTAAATTAAATTTAAAAAAAATTGTTTTCCAACAATTACTTTACCGCGCATTATTTTATATATGTATATATATATTTCTTAATTAATTACTGTCATTAAAATTATTATAAAATAAAAACAAGTTGCGTTTTTTTCGTGGTTCAACACCTTAAAGCATCGGTGTTCTTTATGATGTATCCCAATTATATTAATTCCGACTAACTGTAAGAAAAATATTAGAATGATAATGTACTATCATTATGACAAATTTAATTTCTTTTTGTTCCAGACTTCTCAGCGATCGAAATGCCGTCACTTATGAGATCAATAACAACGAAACTGATTTAAACAACGAAACTCTTCTTTACAATGTGTCACTAAACGAAGACTATATCTTCGATAGGACTGATGTAAAAGTAATTTTTATTACTTTATACACTATCGTATTCGTCTGCTGTTTCTTTGGTAAGTCATTCAATGTCTTTGTATACCTCATAATTAATCCTCAAATAATAATGCAATTGTTTGCACTTTCATTATATTTTTCATCTGACAATTACGCCAATGTAATACACACTTATAGGTTTAAGAAAAAATGTTGATACAAATGGTGATACAGCCATGTATGTCATGTATGTATACATATATTTGTTTCCAAATATAAATTCTTCTTATTATACTTGACATGATTATAAATTGTGGAATTATGAATATTTTTATAAATGTATAATAAATAAATGTTGATCATTTTCAACATGCTTTGCAATATACGCTAAATGTAAAATTAAAATCTTGTTTAATTATATTTCTAAGGAATATTCTATCTAGCATGAATTTATTTAAAACAAAAATAATTGACATGTTGCTATTTTGGCCTATGATAAAAAATGGGAGAAAAATAACTTTCATATCACTAAATATGTTTGTTATTAAATTTTATCAGTGTAGTAAATCGGCTTGCAATTTTTCTTAAAATCTTATAAATTTCATATAATTATTTTTAAAGATTTTAATTTGTTAAACGTCTTTAATACCCTACATTCCGTATTCGAAATTAAAAGACATAGAAAAGAACATACAAGTTAGAAAATCGAATCTTTGCAATTTGCTCGGTGTTGAAGGTTAATTTAATCTCGCCTGTCAATTCGAGTTTAATCAACTCTCGAATCAAAGTAAGGGCTTGGCGTTTCATTGCGGAAGGTAACTCACGATTCCTTTTTGCTTAACGACGCGCATGCGGAACTCGTATGTCGGCTGTCGGAAGTAGCTTCATTTCCTTGGATATGTTACACGAACGACCACAACCGTGCATTACCATGAAACCACCATTAAGTAGTCGGTCGCTTCCGGTCGCGTAATCCACGCAAAGTATTAGTATGTCACTTTTAAAGGAGCAAACATTGTTAATTTGTCAATCTCGACTAAATATGAATTGTTAGTGAAGTTAAGAATTCAAACTAACTAATTATAAGTTTGAGCGAGATTGACGTTTAATTATTCATTTCGATAATATCAGTTATTGGAGCAGATCCTAAGAATTTAATCTCTTCATAATTAACGCCGTTAATTTAATAGATTTTATTGTACAGTATTATTGTACAATATTAAAAATTCTTAATGTGTGCTATCTGATAGATTGTTATAAACATTTGGCTAATAAGTTCATTTTTAATTTTGTAGCCGAAAAAACATTCGATTTTTGGTGAAATATATTGAAAATGTTTAATTGATGATATTAAATGCAGATTGCAGTGTTACAAAAATTATATTCTAAATACCTGATAACCACGAAATCAATTTTGCATATTGGCTTATAAATAGTTTTAAAAAAATTTGGAGATATTTTATACTAAACATTTTTTCTATGTATAAAATCTTAATAAAGAAAGATTAATAAAGTTTTGATTCAATTCATAATTTCAAGTCAAAATAAACGAGAGATACGATGATACAAATATTAATATACGCATATCAATGCAATATTCATGAGAAATATTACGTATAGGAAACAAACATGCACAATGCAGTCCGAAAATATCACTATGCAAAACATGAAAACGATCCAAATCTACCATTATTGATTTTAGTATACATATTTATGTAAATAATCAGACAAACAAACTATAAATTAGTATTAACAATTATAAATTAATATAACAAAATAATATATAATGCATTTTTTTATTGACGTAATTTATAGCAAAGTTAGGTGATGTACCATATTTCTTTTTGGTCATCTCGTAAATACTATAGCTAAAGTTTGTTAGATAAAACATACCAATAGCGTTGAACGAAACGTCGATCTCCGAATCGATCCGAAACGGCGATTTCTTTCGCTGCTTCCTGAAATTTATGCTCTCAATAAATGCCAACGTGTTCGACATGATCGTGGTTTCAGATAGCCCAGATAAAAGATAAATTTTAACAAGATGCGGAAAAAGATTTATCCTGCACGCGCGACGATAACATATGTTTATTTCGTGTACACATACGAATATCTCCCTCTCTCTCTCTTAAATGAAGCTGTTAGAATATGCAATGAAGAAGTTAAGCTGATAATTATTTATCATAAGCTAATATAGTTATCTAATTAATTAAAATATATTTAGAGGAATCTAATACTTTTTTTATTGATGATTTTACTGAATAAGTTTCTATAACGTGAAAAAATATTCTCAGAGAGAATTAAAAGCTGCATTCACGTTATTTTTATGAGAAAAGGTATTGCTATTTTTATGCCGGTATTTTTCGAACACATAGTTTCAAAAATTCCAGGCACGTTTCGTGCTGTTCAGAGTGTATTAATCGTAGGTACTAAATGATCAAATATCTTTTCAAATTACAGATATGCTGATGCGTAAATTATCGTGTTAAAGATGACTTGTAAATACAAATAATATAAATAATACAAATTAATCATTATTTATTTATTAAATTTTTTTTTAGATTAAATTTTTTTATATAGAATACGTATCAAGATTGTGATATAATCGATTGAAAATGTCGATGAATTTTTATGCAAAAAAATAAAACCTGTAAATTAAAACTGTTTCAGCACAAATTTTTTTTAGTAAAAAAATTTTAGAAATGGAAAATATCTTTTTTTATATTAATATGAACACTGTATAAAATGTAAAAAATTTCATATTATTTTTAAACAATCTAGAGCCCGTTTTTTTAATCAAAATGTTAAGACATTAATTAATGTTGAGTTATAAGTAATAAATAAAGAAGACTTAGAATATAAAAAATAATTTAAATATATAGATATTATCTTTATTAGATTTTAATAGTTATTCATGCGTCATAATTATTTCATGTTTTATCATCTCAATTATTATTCTTGCATTTCAATTATTCCAAATTCAATACGTATGACATGCTATTTTGTATGCTTTTTATTACAGCCGGAAATGCAAATACTCATAGGTGGTGCAATAAATCCCGGACACGAACAATGTGACGATTTTGCGCGTACGATTGTTACATGTTGCAATTTCAATTTATTTTTCTTCCAAATGAATTATACTCGTCAAATATCGATTTTTTTGTTTTTTTTTCTTTCATAAATCATATAATGATGAAATGGGTGTTATCCAATCTGACAATAAGACGAGCTTATTTAAACATATCGTTGCAGTTAAGCAATGCATTGCTTATTATATTTTAGTTATATCATTGAAATTATTTTTTTTTCTATCATAGGAAATCTTACAGAAGTTTACAGTACTAGCCTATTTGGCATAAAAAATAGTACAAACATCAAAAACGTTTAATTATGTGTACCTCACAAGTGAGACTTTTGAATATTTTTATTAATGTATATATTATCTAAATAAATGTATATATTTTATTTTTATTTAGATTAATTAATTTATTATTTTAATAAGAATGTGTTAATATTTAATCATTTTCACACATTATGTCTTTTTATCTGAACTGCATTGATTATTGATAATTTAATTTTTCCTTCCTCTTTCTTTCTTTCTCTTTCTCTCTAAGTGTATGTATGTCTAATTTTATTTATCGATATGATGCATAATGGCGGAGTTATAATACTCGATGTTGATTTGTAATATATAAATATATCCAAATTATAAGAGGTAGTGTTCAAAATAATTAAAATTAAAAAAAAAATAATTATTGTAATACATGCAAATACATGTAATTTTATTTTTTTGCTCGTTCTTTCAATAAATATTAAATAAAAAAATTTTCTAATTTTCGAAAAAAAAAATTATTCCTAGATGTGAACTTAAAAAATATAATAATTAAAAGTCTAATTCTCATATAAATAATATCAATAAGCTAAATAGTTATAAATTTTTAAATAATTGTTAAAATGTTTTTATAAATCTATATACATGTATACAAATATTAATTTTTATTATACATATATGTATACAAATACTTTATATAGAAGTGTCTAAATGAATATTTTATATACATTACACATTAATGTAATAATTATTATTGCTCGAGGGTAAACAAGAAATTAATTTTACAAGTAATAAATAATAAAAAATTATAAATTATGCTAACTTCAATGTTGCTTCACCCTAGCTTGATGCCTTCTTGGATTTGATTCTTTTCTCTCGTTCATCCTTTATTGCTTCTTCATGGCACTTTAATTCGTGAAAATACGATTAAATACAATCGTTCGCACATTAATCAGGATACGACAGTCGCGTAACATTATTGTACTGCATTGCCAACATTAATCAGACGCGCACTTTATTTTATTGTGTGACAGAAAAAGAAATTAAAAAGTTGCATAAAACTATGATTCACCTGAAAATCACGTGACTCTGATCGCGTTTCTTTAGTGTTATCTTTTAAAACGCAATCTTTTTTTATAACTATTATAATTAGCGATCATTAATACAGACGCGATTGATTCAGTCATACAATAAATGATAAAAAAGCCTAATATATCCATTGTTTATTAATAATAACATTTATTTCGATTTTTTTGGAAATGCAAGCAATATTAAAATTTGACGTTACACAATACTTTATCAATTTATTATATCTTAATTAGTTATTCATTAGACTGACATAGTATTGTATATATCAGATACATATCCCAGCAAACACAAAATAACAATTACATAACATCAATCTTATAATTTCCCATCCAATAATATAACTATTACATACAAACCATGTTATATTGCGGTTATATTGTTAAGTGGGAAATTATAACATTGATATTATGTAATTGTTGCTTTGTGTTTACTGAGATGTGAAGATATCTATATGTATATTTTTATTTCTATTCATTTACAAAACGCAGATGCAACACAAATCGATTTTAATTGAGAGAGCACAAAGTAGAGAAAAGAAAGAGTAATATATTAATTAAAAAGCTGTACTACATCAATCACACGGTTTAATATTCACGTATGTACCGTTTAAAAGTAAATTATAAATTCAACATTTTATTTAATGTATTTGTTCTACTC